ACCGGCAAAGCGGCAGACAAGCGACGGTCCCGAGGCCTCCTTGGAGCCTTGGTGTGCTGAGGTGGAGTATGGGGCCCGCCCCCAGGCCCAAGGTGGAGAATGGGCTTGCAGGGGGAGCGGTCCTCCCCAAGACTCACCGGCAAAGCGGCAGCAGCGATGTCCCGAGGCCTCCTTGGAGCCTTGTGTGCTGAGGTGGAGGTATGGGGCCCGCCCCAGGCCCAAGATGGAGAATGGGCTTGCAGGGGGAGCGGTCCTCCCCAAGACTCACCGGCAAAGCGGCAGCAGCAGAGAGAAAATGCCCTCTCACAGTTGTTTTTTTTGGGGGTGGGTGGGTTGCATTTTAGTTACAAGCTGTATATTTTAAAAATGCTGTAATGTAACTAAAATTCATGCCACTTGAACCTCGGAACTTGTCCAGAATGGATGATGGCTCTTGGACTAAAGGAGATTTCCCCACCTCTGCTATGCATGCTACACTGAATTCAGCTATGTCCTACTCAGAGTAAACCATTGAACTTAATGAACCTAAGTTAATCATGCGAATGGGACTAACACTGAGTACCACCTGCTTATACCAGAATACATGTGTGTTAATAATGATAATGGGGGAGGATAATTTTGTGGGGATTCTGTTGAAATGTGAGGGTGGATACTTGGAGAGAGGGAAGGCTTTTATTTTTATTTTTATTTTTTTAAAAAACAATTGCTTGTGGGACTGGTGGCTTTGGCTGAAACTTGAATGGCAGGTGCCTCGACAGAGAAGAGCTAAAAAAATATTATTGGGGTGGGAAGTGCAATTCTTGAAGTTTGTTGAAATGGAGGGATAGTGGCTGCTCTCCTGTAGACACTTATCCTAGAATGTGTTAATAATGAGGGTGGTAATCACTGATAAATATGTCTTTGCCTATGAAGAGGGTGATGTTATAGGATTGGAAGTCAGGTGCCCATGGTTTTAAATTTGTAAGATTGGAGTCTGTCTGCTGAAGTAGATAAACCAACCTTTCAGGTGGGGGATGTGCTTAAAATGTTTGGTGTGAGCACAGTTCCATAGCCATTCATAACCTTACTGTCAATGTGGCAGTTTATTTTTCTTCTTACTAAATTCTCTTCAAATGCAACACTTGTTTATAAATTGCAGGTTCCCCAAACAGTGTTACTGGTATGCTTTTGGTCTAGAAATTAAATTCAATATAAACCCGGAAGGAGCGGAACTAGATCAAACCAGAGTTCCTTGAAAGTTTGTTAAGATAATGATGATAGGCTTGGCAAACCAATTAAGATTATACAGTGTTAGAGCAGTGCAAATAAAAAAAGAAATAAATTTAATTTAATCTAAAGTTTCAAAACATCACAACAGAGACTGTTTAATTTTCATTCAACATTGACATAGGACTCTGATCTGAGTTAATGAATACATGATCTTGATGGGTTGCTTTTCCTCATACCATGAGGTCAACAGCATAAGAGCAGTAGAAGGAAGCAATCAATGAATCTCCTTTAGATTTTCAGGGTGTTTTCTCATGGGACAAGTCCACACTGCAATATTATACATGTTTACTTTGAAATAACACACACTTTGTTACATGGGTCTTACTCCAGGAAAGTGCACATGGGATTGCCATCAATAGCCAAATTGTTTCTGACATGCTTGTTCAAATACTTTCAAAGCCAGTAGAAATTATCCAAATTGTGTGCTACTATCCTCCCAGTTCGGGGGGGGGATCCTCTCCAATGTCATCAATTATATTTTATTTATTGCTTTCTTCCGAGCTATATCCATCTTCTTTTCTCTGTGGTATTCTGAATAAATGTGCCTGCTGAGCCAATGGCACCAGATTCCTAAGTAGATGTTTTTCTTCAGTAACCTCTCACTGAATCAGTCCAGAAACTATTCCACCACCACTTTGCTCCCAAAATTGATAACTCTTTTGGTTACCTTTGGCAGGATTCCCTGCACATTGCACAGTATAATATGGATTCAAAGGGCTACTTTGTTTAGCAACAGGTTTTGTATGGTAGCAGGGAATGGAATTGTTATGAGTGTCAGGTTCTTTTCAGATACATTGTTTGGTTATCGCATAACATTACTTGTTATGCTCCCAACACCAGGATTTAAGATGCTGAGGTTTCAACTTTTAAAAAATGCTCGAGCATTTTGAGAACTGTTAAACTTAGATTCTATCCATATATTACTTGTTCATGTGTCTGTTTTTGTTCTCCTTGAATCAGTCTGAAGACAATTCCACTTTTGCCCCAAAGCAAAAAATGGAGCATCCTGATTTTGAACAGTGAGATATTGGAGGGTATGGATAGAAAAAAGTAGATCTTTTTCCTCAGTGATCTCTCCCTGAATCAGCCTGAAGACAATTCCACTCCTGCCCCAAAGCAAACTCTTGTCACTTGTGGCAGAGTTTTCTGCATGCAGCACAGTATAATCTGGATTCCAAAGGCTAGTCCGTTTAGCAACAGGTTTTGAGTGGTAGCAGGAAATGGAATTGTTAGATGAGTGCCAGGTTCCTTTTAGCTCTACTGTTTGGTTCTTGTGTAACATTGACTGATATGAAGGATTTAAGTTGCAGTAGTTTTAACTTCTTTGTTAAAATGCTCAAGCATTTTGAGAATGGTTAAACTTAGATCGGTTCCATGTATAACAGATATAGAACCCCTTGATCTTAATGAACTTGTTCTTGTGTCTCTACACAGACCCAGAGAAAGACCTCAAGGATGGCAAAGACAGTTCTGTTTTCTGATCTGGATCTTTCAGACCTATATCCAGATGCTAATTACAGTGACTATGACTACTACGGCACTTTCAACCCTAACAGCGTAGCAGCAAAAGCACCCTGCGGAATCGATGTTATGCCACCTGTGTTCAAATACCTAGTGGCATTCATCTATGGCCTGACATGCCTTCTGAGCCTGGTGGGGAACTCCCTGGTGGTTCTGGTGATTGCCTATAGCAAAGGAAACCGTTCTGTCACTGATGTATATCTTCTAAACCTCGCCATTGCTGATCTCCTCTTTGCCCTCACCTTGCCTTTCTGGGCTGTAGATAGAGCGCATGAATGGATCTTTGGCACTCCCATGTGCAAAATCCTGTCACTCCTGAAGGAAGTCAACTTCTACAGTGGCATCCTCCTGCTGGCTGGTATCAGCATGGATCGCTACCTGGCAATAGTTCATGCTATTCGGGCAGTCACTCAGAAGAGGAGCTGGGTCAGATTTGTCTGTGTTGGCATCTGGCTGCTCTCCTTCCTCCTCTCCCTTCCTGTAATTATCTTCCATGAGGCTTTCTTGCCAACCGAGGAGATGAAATGGGTTTGTCACGAATATATTGGATGGAATCAAATATCTGGCATTAGGGCGAAACTGAGAATCCTTCCACAAACGTTTGGCTTCATTCTTCCCTTGATCATCATGCTCTTCTGCTATGGTGTGACGGTACACAGACTCTACCAGACCAAGAACAGTCCAAAAAAGAAGGCCATGAAAGTCATCTTGGCTGTGGTGCTGGTCTTCCTGGTCTGTTGGCTGCCCTACAATATCTCTTTGCTTCTTGATACGTTAATGAGGTCTGGAGCTATTGGTGAAACCTGTGACCTTCGCAACAGCATTGATACAGCCCTTTCGGGTACTGAAATCTTGGGATTTGCTCACAGCTGCGTAAACCCCATCATATATGCCTCCATAGGGCAGAAGTTCCGGAACAACTTCCTCAAGATCCTGGTCACAAGAGGCATCATCAGCAAAGAAGCCTTGACTCGATTTAGAAAGGGTTCCTCCTTCTCATCTACCTCTCTGTAATAGGCTGGGGGGAAGAAAAAATTGGATGGAATTAAACAGCTGAAATGAGGGTGAAACAGAATCCTGCCACAAATGTTTAGCTTCATTCTTCCTTTGATCATCATGCTCTTCTGTGCCATGCATATTATATATAGTTTCTTATAAACAATCCAAACCATCTCTTGTTCTGCTAAAAACATTCTGTCCAAAATAGAATCCTGTGATAAAATTTTGACTGGATGTAGCTACCATTTCTATATGAGCTTAACTAAAAATAAAATACACAGAGCAAGGAAACTTAATCCCCTCTCTACCTTTAATTCCTTATTTTGTAGAACTGCCTTTTGTATATTTTAAATTGAATGTGGTCATCATAGAAATATGATTTTTCTGTAATCTTGACTGCAGAGCTATGATCAAGTCAGTAACTGACCCCTTAGCAACTGCTTTAAATGCATCCCATTGCACAAACAAACCTGTTCCTTCATAAGGATTGTTCATTACTGAAAATGTGGTTCTTGAATGACCTAACTTGAAACATTTGAAGCCAACTACATTTCAAGTCACCCAACTTTTTATGGGGAGAAGCTTCTGTTATAGGTCAGGAAATACAGCATCTGTAGTATGTAGGAAGCTTCCTTTTTGGCCTGCTGAACTCCATCTGCGTATCTTCCCTTGCCCGGGGGGTGTGTGAGGGTAGTGTGCTATTTAGTGGTGGATAAGATCAGCCTTTCCCATCTCAGTGATTTGCATTTTATGAGACATTGTTATTTGAGCCGAGAGTATTTATGATCCCTATTAAAACAATTATGTTGTTCTACCTGTCAGCAGGACTTCAGTTACCAATGTATTTAAAAGGCGAGAGACACCCTCAAAGCTAACAGGAGGGGCCAGAAGGACAATATTTGCTCTCTCTGTGTGAAAACATTCACAGAAAAACAAACCAAGCTTTATGAAAGCAGAAATAGGCTTTTGGGAACAACTCCCAAGAACATTATTTGTAAGTCAAGCATGGCCAAGGTGGGCAGGCCCCAAATGAAGGAGCAGGGCCTTTCCTGGCTGGGAATTCAACTCGGGGCATGATGGCAATACAGTCTTCAAGGGTCACCAGGCAGAAAGGCGATGGAGAAGCTAGGCTCTACACCTGACTTCTTAGCATTTAGGGCAATACCACTCATAGGACACAACACAGTGCAGAGCTGGAGCTGGAGCAGAAATCATGATCAGGCAGAAGCCATGTTTCTGAAGCAGTCTTTCCCAAGCAGGTGCTTTCCAGATGTTTTTGACTACAGCTCCCATCAGCCCCTGCCAGTTGGAAAAGGCTGCTGTAAAGGGTGTGACTGTGAAACAGAATTCACAGAGGATATGTGCATTTTTGGCCAGGAGCCACAATTGCAACAGAAATCACATAAACTGGCAGGCCAGCCTGACAGTGAGGTGTGAAAAGATCAAGTATAATCTTTGTAGCAAAAACAACACAAGAGTCTTGTGGCACCAAAGGCTAACATATTTATTATGGCATCAGCTTTTGTTTACCAGTGGTCATACCCACAAATATATGCACACACAGAGTATTAGGTTTTTTTTATTTAAAAAATGGTAAACAATGTGGCCAAATGGTTATCAAATACCCCCCAAAAAAGCTCAATCCATGACCTTTCTATTTATGTAAAACTTAAATATATATAGAATATATAGAATATATATAGAATATATATTCTAAAATATATAGAGACTGAAATACCCAGGGGTCAGAGGAGGTTATTTATGTACACAACAACTGTGGCCCATGTTTTGTTAGCCCCAAAATGGAAAGTGAGTGAGGTCCCAACTAAACAGGATTGGCAACTTAAGTTGACAGAATATGCACAACTTGCAGATTTAACATATAGAATAAGAGACCAAGAAGAATATACGTTTAAAGAAGATTGGAAATGTTGTTTGAGTATATGGAAAATATGGAATATATTGAGTATATGGAAAATATGGAATATATTGAGTATATGGAAAATATGGAATATATTGAGTATATGGAAAATAACTGTACAGCTGAAAACACTGGCAGCATTAAGATAAATTCAACAGAGTAAATAATTCTTGATGGATGTAATAGTGGAAAACCGATTGGAATGGTTATTGTAAAATATGCAGGGGTGTAAGATATGCAAAATGAACCATGGAAAGAGAAGACAGGAAGTCATCGGATATTTTAAAGTTTGTAAAATGTTTATTTGAAATTGTAAAACAGAAAATTTAATAAAATATATATATAAAAATAAAAGTCCCATTGTTTTTGTTTGATGAGCATCACCTAATCCCAACATCCCTACACTAGCAAAAAATTGCCAGAAATCATTCACATTTGATGTAGCTTCCCTAAAACATCCAAACTTTCTGCTTCATAGTCAAGCAATAGTTCCCTCTGCTGGGGAGTTGTAAGGAGAGCATCAAGGGACACATATTATTTCCTGCATGCCAGTCAGGCAGCTAGGATGGCAAAATATTATTTGGTGAAATCTTTAAATTGCTTTCCATCTTCCTGTCAGTGATTGCAGCTCTGATGTTGTTTCATAGCCCTTTAAGCAGAGAACGATTTGTGGACAGAAATTGTGTGTACTGATGAATGCTGTGTTGGTCCAGCAAAGGAAACCAAAAGAACTTTCAGACTGTCACTATTTGGAGATGAGATTCAGTCACATACTTCAAAATTCAGGATGGACTAATATACTTGATTGGGAGGTCTTGAGCAAAAAACCTTCTGCCCCAAATATCAAATTTTTGCAATTAAGGAAAGTGATGGGGAGATGCCCTGGAATGTGTGGGAAATTAGTTGCGTTGACACGTCATCTAACTTCCCTGCAAACACATCATCTAAATTCCCCACAAACAAATCAAGAAGAAAAGAAAGCAACAAACAGGTAATCTGTGAGTGCCTTCACTCAGGCTTGTCACTCACATGTCATCTCACAGAAATAATTACTCTTGTCTTCTGGCACAGAATACAGAATTAACTATATTCTTAGAACAACTCCAGTTCAAAATTGGTAAACCATTGAATCTCACAAATCTCCTTCTACTGTATATACATTCAGTGATAAAAATGGGGGGGGGGTGTCATTTGAATCATACGCCATCATTTTCAAAGAGGGGGAGGTTCAATTTACCCTACACCCTTCAGTTATGTCCTCCAGTTGCAGCCCCTGAACTCTATCATAAACAACAAGGTCCTTAAAAATATGCTTTTCCCTCTCCTGCAGATCTGAAACAGGACATGCTTTTTGTGGTTATGGAAGTCCATCACAGTATTTTCAAAGATTGCATTAGAATTTTTCAATGCATGCAGACAGATTTTCTAAACACTGTCTACAGGAGTAGATGAGTTTCTGCACTATATCAGACTGAACAGCTTGATCTTTGATCTGCAAGGAAGGAGCTGTGAACTAGTAACCAAGTTCAGCATCATGTTGGGGTAATCAAAGTGAAGGAACTGAGTGAGTCCCCTTCTAGTATACTTCTCACAGCTGGAGCTGTTTCCTGTTATAATCCTCCACAGCCTATTCCTCACCCAGCTTCTTAAGTAATAGAAAGGAGGACTCGGTGTGCTTTCTGGAGGGAAGTTTTGCAAAGGCCAGTTCCTCCTAGAAAACACGAACTTTCAGCATCACATTATTTGTGCTCTCAGGACAATTCTCTAAAGCAGGCAGGTAAGTGGATGACTCTGCCTAACTCTGCATAGGATTGAGGTTGAGGATAAGAATGATGATAAGGACAATATATTAATATATTGGGAATAACGCATTGATAGTCAAGACTTGGTATTCCAGGGTGCTTAAGTTCTACATAAATGTCTAACAGGCTAGGAAATAAAAGTTAAGCAGCTGTAGCATTTTGATGGTGTGATCCTCATTGTTCAACATAATGATTGTATCTGCCTTGTTTTGCGATGCCAGTCGGCAAACTCAAATCTTACTTAATATTATTTTGAACAGCATATTAAATTATAACATTCTAAAACCATTTTACATGTGATATCACAGCACTGATCATAGTTTATCTTGCAACTGACCATACAATATTTCCAATTTTAAATAATAATCGGAAACAAAATACACACAGAGATGTCTAATACTATGTGATACTGGATTTTAATGTTGTGTTGTAATTGTTGTAGCCCATCCTGGGACTTTACGGTGAAGGGAAGGCAATAATAATAATAATAATAATAATAATAATAATAATAATATAGTGATGGATAATTTTGAATACAAAGTGATGCACTTGATACTGAACATCAGACGTCTCTGATGTGGGGTAGATTGAGATTACAGATCTGATACTGATACAGAATGACTTCTGAGAGGGGAAGGCTGCTTAGAGAAGGATCCTGCAACTGGTGATGATATAGAGATAGAATTATCAGCAGCAATTGCAACAATTATTTACTACAGCTGCTACTCATACAGCACTCTCAATACCTTGCTTTTCGTAAGTCAAAAAGACAGCAGCTGCACCTCTGCATGAGTGTCCTTGTGAATTTTCTAGTGATTTACATTATAGAGATAGGCACTGCAACGTTCCGCACAATTAACTCTTTGCAACATTCAAACTCAGTGATGCACACTGAACTCTCATGTGGGGCCTGGCTATGTAGCAATTGTGCTGGATTCCACTGGACTAGCTAGCAGAGCAAGAGAGAGTTTATACTGTCAGTCCAAAGAAGCATCTAATCACAACAGGAAGCTATTTCAGTGGAAGCTCCCAAGCCAAACAATTTCTGTTTCCTACCAAGATGTCCAAATTTATATTGAACTCAAAACCACAACTTAATTTATAAATCATACAAAAAATAAGAATATTGGGCAGAGGCGTAGGAAGGGGGGGGGCGCGCCATCTGCCTGCGACTCCTAAACCTACCCCGAGTCATTGATGGGGGAGGGAGGTGACAATTTTTTCCTGCACCGGGTACCACCTTACCTTGCTACACCTCTGTATTGGGGAATGTCACTATAGGTTGACTTTTCTTTGCACATAAATGAGTCAGCTTGGATTTTGATTATCCATTGAAAGGAGTAATCTCTCCAGCATTGGCTGTTTCTCAGCATTAAATCAGAGAACAGAGGTCAGTGCAGGAAAATATTTATGCATGAAACAGCCCATAGTTTTCAGCTACACTGGGTATTAATGCAGACCTCAGAAATGAGACTTGCATGGCAGACCTGCTAAAGCAAACATGCTGTGCATCTTGAGAAAGAGGTGTGCTCACACTTCCTATTGCAAGAACAGCAAAAGCAACCAAGTTATTGGCACAGATTTCCCCACATTGCCATAAAGATGAAACTTCACACATGTAGTTTTGCTACACAGACATATCCTCTCCACAGGAAGAGAGCAAAATAGCATGTGTGTATGTTTGGCAGTGGTTATGACAGGTGTTTCGAAGTTATCACATAAAAATAAACACTTGATCTGTTTTCACATATGATGGTATGCAGTATATACCAGATGTAGCCAATGTGGTGCTCTGCAGATAATGCTGGATTACAACACACATCATCTATGACCATTGGCCATGCTGGCTGGGGCTGATGAGAAATGGAGTCAAAGGCCAAAGAAGAGCATTATGTTGACTTGCTCTGGTGTACACAGATATCAATTTCCCTACCACGGTTCATATTGCAAAGGGAATGTGTGGTAAGTGAGGTGGTCCTCACAGTAGAGAGATGGTTGTTATTTTTGGGTAGGATTCAATTACATACTGGCAAATTCAAGTTGCACATAATGATTCATTGGGAGGTCTTGCATAATAATAATAATAATAATAATAATAATAATAATTAATAATAATAAATTTTATTTATATCCCGCCCTCCCCAGCCAAAGCCGGGCTCAGGGCGGCTAACAACAATAAGACAGTACAAAAGTACAGCATAAACAACACTCTAAAATCATTCATTATAAAATTAATTAATTCAAGCCACTGGCAACCATTGGGCCAGAGCTCCGTGAAGATTGCCGAGGGAGGGAGTCAGGCTGTGCCCTGGCCAAAGGCCTGGTGGAACAGCTCTGTCTTGCAGGCCCTGCGGAAAGATGTCAAGTCCCGCAGGGCCCTGGTCTCTTGTGACAGAGTGTTCCACCAGATCGGAGCCACAGCCGAAAAAGCCCTGGCTCTAGTTGAGGCCAGCCTAACTTCTCTGTGGCCTGGGACCTTCAAGATGTTTTTATTTGAAGACCGTAAGTTTCTCTGTGGGGCATACCAGGAGAGGCGGTCCCGTAGGTACAATAAACCAACTTCTCAAAAAGATCTGATTTCTGTGATAAGGAACGTGACGAGAAAAAATCCTAGAAAGGGTTGAAGCAATGTCATGTCACTTTGCTGCAAATGAATTGGGAATCAATGGCCCGGCATTCAAATTGTATAGCTGGGATCTCTCTAGACTCTAGCTACCATATCTATGTTGCCATAAAATTCCGCTTTTGTATGAAAGGAAGCCTGGTTAGTTGCATCAAATCAAGCCAATTTTTTGGAAAAGGCAGGCAAGTATATATTCTCATACCTAAGAGAGGCGGCACCTCAGGCTGGGGCCAAATGTCTCTCTGGACATTGACACTTTCCCCAGGCCACATTACTTATCCCCAAGCTGCACCATCATTTTCCTTTGTGCCTTTCCTTAAATGCCATTCCCAGAAAACTTTGTGTCATTTCCTCTTCACCTCATTTTCCACCCCACCCCACAAAATAGTCCCCAGCAGAGATTTAAAGTCACAAAATATGCAACAAAGTGAAGGGTGAATATATATAGGCTGTTAGACCTTTAAAGTATGCTCTTCCAAGTGAGTTCCAACATGTCCTCTTAAAAAAAATAATCCAAATTCTTCCTCTTTCCCCAGCATAGGAAAAGACCAAACATTTGGTAGGTTAAAAAATGATTTACTAACAAACTCTCCAAAGGTCAGATTCATGTGCTTTTTCATACACCAAGCAGAAAAGTTGCACAGGCAGTAAAACGTAGCTTAGTTACAAAGGGATAAAACTTCCTAAATCCTTACCAAGAGGTTGGTAAAAGCTATGAGGCTGAGCTGCAAACCTCCTTACATGCTTAGTTCACAGGTAGACTAAGACTAACAAAGACTTGATTGCCCATTTCCTCCCAAGGTAAGGGCATAGCTAAGTCTGACTGGACAATTAACCCCTTCATGAATTAATCAGACTTAAGTATTTGGGGTACATGAGGCTGCTTATCCTATATTCTCCTTAACATGAGAACTGTGGGAATTCAATATTAACAATGGACTACCTCGCAGGCATGCTGTAAGCCTCCTGACATAAGAATCAGAGACGCAAGATGTATATTTTTGGTTTTAATAATTTTTCAGTGTTTCACTTTTAGTTGCATTTAACCTTTTAGATAGAATGAATGAAGGGAAATGTTTGATTTCTGTGTGAGGTTCCTGTGAATACCTATACAGAAACCTCTCAGGAATCGATTCAGGAATCCACTTTGACATGGCAAGTTGTGGAGAAAGCTGTTGTTGAACCTCAAGTAATACAAGTGGAGAGAGCCCCAGTCGTTCAGAGGCAATTTGATGAATATAACCTGTTGCCTTCTACGATTGAATTTAGAGAAAGCCAGATTTGGAGGGATGGAGTCCCGCTTGGATTGGAGAAGGAAAGTTGGATAGATCCCCTTATGCAGGGATGCTCTGGCTTTTGGGATCTGGATTTGGGTCAGGGGGAGATTGGAGTTGTGGGGGCCTTTAGCTTCGGAGGGATTTTGAAACACGCTCTGAAATATCTTATGGACTTTAGTTTTGACTATGGAGAATGGGCTGACCTGTCGAGAAGGAATAAAGACATTGTTAGGTTGGAGTTTCCCCGAGATCTACTCCTCAGTGCCAAAGGAAGGAAATTAAGAACAAGATCAGCAGAAGATAAAGTAAAGTGCATGTATAAATATGAAGAAGATCTGCAGAAGGGACATGGAAAAGAGTTAAGAGCCTCGGACAGAAGATCACCAGGTTGATGGACCATATGGAATTGATAGAAAGGACTGACAGAATCCGAGACCAGGGAGAAGAGACGGTGAAAGAAGATTGGGAAAAAGTTTAAAATTTATTTAGAGAAATATTGTAAAATTAATGAGTGTTAGAAAAATGTTGGAATGAAATTACATGGCTTTAGTAGAAACGTTATAAGGAGTTAAGTTTAAATAAGTTTTAGGGTTTTAATGGTAAGATAAGGTTAAAATAAATCAAGACAATTAAATGACAGAAAACAGTGAAAGATGGAAAGGATTTGCTGAAATAATTAATAACTAGAATACAAAAAAGGGAGGTGTGAGGAGGTCGATGAAACAAGTTAATGAAAGACAAAGATATGGAAATATTGGATGTGTTTTTAATTGTTTTTGCTTTTGTTTTTGTTTTGATGTATTGTGTCTTTTGTTTTTCTTTTGTTTTTCTCTTTATGTATTGTAATGTATTGATTTGTATTGTTTACTTTTTCTCTTTTTTACTTCTATCTGTAATCTTTAAACTTTTAATAAATATTATTTTTTTAAAAAAATAATAAGATACCAATATGGAGCCATGTGTGTTTTACTTCTGGTGAGCTGTAACTTTTTGAAGCATTTTGAAAATGACACTGGTAAATCTGATCCATGTATAACAGATACATAACTTATTGATCTTAATGAACTTGTTCATGTGTCTGTTTTGGCTTCAAACTCTATGCAGGTCCACAGCAAGACTTCAAGGATGGCAAATACATTTGTGCTTTCTGATTTGGATCTTTCAGACCTAGATCTAGACGCTAATTACAGTGACTACGGCACTTTCAACCCTAACAGCGTAGCAGCAAAAGCACCCTGCGGAATCGATGTTATGCCACCTGTGTTCAAATACCTAGTGGCATTCATCTATGGCCTGACATGCCTTCTGAGCCTGGTGGGGAAGTCCCTGGTGGTTCTGGTGATTGCCTATAGCAAAGGAAACCGTTCTGTCACTGATGTGTATCTTCTGAACCTCGCCATTGCTGATCTCCTCTTTGCCCTCACCTTGCCTTTCTGGGCTGTAGATAGAGCGCATGAATGGATCTTTGGCACTCCCATGTGCAAAATCCTGTCACTCCTGAAGGAAGTCAACTTCTACAGTGGCATCCTCCTGCTGGCCGGTATCAGCATGGATCGCTACCTGGCAATAGTTCATGCTACTCGGGCAGTCACTCAGAAGAGGAGCTGGGTCAGATTTGTCTGTGTTGGCATCTGGCTGCTCTCCCTCATCCTCGCCCTTCCTGTAATTATCTTCCATGAGGCTTTCTTGCCAACTGAGAAGATGAAATGGGTTTGTTATGAAAATATTGGATGGAATCAAACATCTGAGATGAGGGTGAAACTGAGAATCCTGCCACAAACATTTGGCTTCATTCTTCCCTTGATCATCATGCTCTTCTGCTATGGTGTGACGGTACACAGACTCTACCAGACCAAGAACAGTCAAAAAAAGAAGGCCATGAAAGTCATCTTGGCTGTGGTGCTGGTCTTCCTGGTCTGTTGGCTGCCCTACAATATTTCTCTGCTTGCTGATACCTTGATGAGGATGGCAGCTATTGCTGAAAGCTGCAGCCGCCACCGCAACATCAATGCAGCCCTTTCGGGTACTGAAATCCTGGGATTTGCTCACAGCTGCGTAAACCCCATCATATATGCCTTCATAGGGCAGAAGTTCCGCAACAACTTCCTCAAGATCCTGGTCACAAGAGGCATCATCAGCAAAGACGCCTTGACTCGGTTTAGAAAGGGTTCCTCATCCACCTCTGGCATCACCTCTACAACTCTGTAATAGGCTGGGGGGAAGAAAAAAAGGGAGAAACACTCAAGACAGAGTTTGTCCAGCCACTGTTACAATGAAGGTCTTTGTAGATTTCAAGAATCAGGTCCAATAAGATGATACAACTGAAATGCTAAAAAACAACAGCCACTATTTTTGCCAATATTAGTGGAGATTCAGCAGTGCTAATATAGAATTCCTTATAAACAATGTCCAAACAATCTCCTGTTCTCTTACCACCATTCTGTCTAAAGTAGAATGCTGTGACAAAACTTTGAGTGGATGTAGCCATTTTATATGTGGTTAAGTAAAAATGTGATATATAGAGAGTAGGCAAACTACATTCCCTTTCTACTTTTAATTCATTATTTTATAGATCTGTCTTTAGTATACTTTAAATCGAATTTATACATCTTGATAGAAATATGTTTCTGCTGTAAACTGCAGTGCTATGCTTAAAGTCAGTCACGAACCCTCTAGCAAATACTTTAAACACATCCTTTGGCACAAACAGTCCTGTTTCTACACTCACATTAATTAGAAAACAGATTTTTATGTTTTTTAACACTTTATGGTAACCCTTAATCTTGTAACAAAAAATAATTTGAATTTTGTTTCTTTCTTTCTGTGCAACTGTTCTTCATACTATGCTAAAATTAAATATTGATTTCTGTTCTAGTTTTTAAACACCTCTGAAAACATTTGTATGCTGCCAAGCTTTTGCTCGCAATATAGAAAACATCCTTCTGCAATACTTAGTTGACCTCTGATTTTATTTTTTCATATGGTTGTTATCACGTGGTTTTATGTATGATTGTTGTAAACTGCCCTTTTCTGAACAGAAGTTTATACATATATATTTTTAATATGTAAATAAATAAATAAAAATCTGAGATAACTATGCTTCCACTTCTGCCAGATTGATATACTGTATATGTCAGAAAGGTAACCCTGCACTGCAAGCAATATTGTATGTTGTTGTTATTATGTTTTCTTATAAACTCTTAAATGTCTTTTCTTTGTTGTTGTTTTCTGAACAAGCAATAATATCTTGTGGCATCCAAAAGAATAAAAAAATTGCATAATGGCATAAGTGTAGGGTGTGTGTCTAGATACAGGGAGTTCAGAAGGAAATTAAATGCTTACAGTACGGAACAGCAATTGCATCATTGGCAGTGACTTTTCACAAGAGCAGTCCCCAAGAAGCATAGGCTGTATGGCAGGTGAGGGAAAAAATGACCCCCTCATTTTCAGCTGGATGTAGGAACACTAAAGTTTCTATTTTAATTTCCAACTAGTGATGTATTTGCACATTTGTTAGACTTCATGTGTTCTATTTGAATGACTTGCTCTCAGTGCCTGTAGTTGATGCTTAATATGTTGTGCTTAATGACATCACTATGACCTGCCTCTGTGTGTCAGGGGTTGGACAGAGGAGGAATGGTGGGGGCTGCCCCCCTTCTTCTGAACCTTCCCAGGAACAGGAGGACAGTATAGATTTAGAACAGTGGTTTGCAGAAGGTCATAGTTCAGAGGCTGCAGAGGGGAAAAGCTGGGAAATATTGAGAGAGGAAGCAGGAAGAAGAAACACCAGGGGAGAGACAGCTGACAGACTCGGTGTCTTTGGAGAGCATTCCTGACCTCTCCCTAACCTAGGACCAGGCAAGCATGAGGATAGTGGAACAGAAAGCTCAGAGACAGAAAGCCCAGATTAGCCGACGCAAGAGTGGCGTAAAATAGAAGAGACAGAGGGGGTTGGACTTTACTCGAAGCAATGCCATTATCTTAGGGAGACCGCATTCTTTTGTGTCTCTCTGTGAATTATGGAATAAATTACTTGGTAAGAACTCCTCTTGTTTATCTGCTTCTTGGCTGCCACCATGGGAGGGATCAGATTCTCTAAAGCCTGACACGGTGGCATCACTGGGCCCTTAGGTCTCATATCTGGGCCCTGAAACCCCAGGGTCTGAGATGCTCCTGACCTGGCAAATCCATGGGTAAATACCTTACTAGGAAATGAGGACGAATGCAAGATGAATGCTCGTTGTTGCATAACCACCCAACAAGTAAGTCAGAATGAATGCTCAACAAAGACCCCTCTCAGACATCCCTTTTTATTGTGCATTCATGATGATTTGATGGTATCGAGATGGTTATATGCAAGCCCGCTTTCAGCACCATTCACACTGGCAAACGTTTGGGGCAGCTATACAGCTTTGTTTCCTGTAAATTTATTTTTATTGAAACTTTTCAGCATGGAACACAATAAAAAACAGATTAAGCTAAATAAAAATGTAAAAAAAGAATCAACAAAAAAGAAAAGAAAAGAGAAAGAAGAAGAAAATACAAAGCCCTCTATCAGAAGTACAAGTGGTACCTCGGGTTAAGAACTTAATTCGTTCTGGAGGTACTGTTCTTAACCTGAAATGTTCTTAATCTGAGGCACCACTTTAGCTAATGGGCCTCCTGCTGCCCACCCGAGCCGCCATTGTGCAATTTCTGTTCTCATCCTGAAGCAAAGTTCTTAACCCGAGTTACTATTTCTGGGTTAGCCAGAGTCTGTAACCTGAGAGCATCTGTAACCCAAGGTACCACTGTAGATCTTGTCTCACATAAAAGGGGGTGGACCCTCCCAGCTCTCACCTGGAAGCAGTAGGCGGAGCTTCATGCTTCAGTACCGGGGGGCGAGAGCAGGTAGGGGCAGGGCTGGCGCATGTCCCAGGGGTGTGGGCGTGCTGTCCTGGGGAGTGGCATTCCGCCTCTGCCAGGAGGCATGGCACCCAGCGCGGCCGGGGGAGCAGCTGCAATGACACCCCCACCGGGATCGCACTGCCAGGTGCGGTGCGCTCCCCTGCACTCCTCTTCCTCTGCCAGTGCCTGGGAAGCTTCCCTTTTCCTAACCTCGCACCCTGGGAGACCCTTCCCTGTCTCTCACGCAGGGTTTTTCACCTTCCATCCATCACCTTCTTCTGTGTGCCCTCATTAACCCATAGTAGAGGACCTCAAAAAACAAAACAAAACAAAAGCAAAAGTAAAGTGGATAGAAGAAGAAAGAGAAAACACAAGAAGTAAAGCTCATGAAAAATAAAAGGAAAGAGAGCAACGAGAAGGAAATAAATTGGACTTCTGATTCTCCGTCTGTCAATTATGTGTATAAACATTATTCAAAATATTCAGCGTTCAGAATAGTATCCAGCTGTATTCCAAGGTAATACCACTCTGCTCGTCAATCCGCTAGGCAGTATTTTTCCAGTCTTCAACCCCAGGTATCTCATTCATCTCCCTTTCCACACAAAATGTCCAAAAGGGGCTCCTCAATTGTTATTATTGCTAAAAGTTAATAATAGTCTTCCTCTAGTCCAGTATAATGACTTTATCTCCAAGAAATTCCAACATCCATTATTAGAATAATAATCCATAATTAATACAGAGTAATAATCCATGGTTATATAAAGCTTTATTTCCAACGGATGCAGCTGCCATAGCTTTCCGCCTGTAACTTTTTGTAGCAGAATTCTGCAGTTCTTTTGTTTCACTTTTGTTGCACTATGCAGGCACGTCCAACAGGTAGATCGTGATCTACCGGTAAATCACCGGACGTCTGTGGTAGATCACTGGTAGATCACTGGCTTCCCCCAAAGAAGCTCAGCAACTTCGGCTCCCCTAAAAAAAAGCTCAAGATTTTTGACCTGAACCCCCAAAAAGGGGTAGATCACTGGCAGTTTTTAACTCTGTGAGTAGATCGCAGTGTCTTGGAAGTTGGCCACCCCTTCACTATAGCATAAGAGTGCCCCTCCACATGGCAATAATGCAGTAACTCTGGGGAAGTGTCACAGAACAACGAATAAAGTGGAATGATGCGTGGACAGTCTGGTATAAAACCACTACTATTGCACTGTTACTGTGTCACTGACAGGCTCAAGAATATGCCTATGAGAAAACACCAGTTAGGGTGTGTGGGCGTGCGTGCCAATAATCTAACCTTTGTGTAATCTTTGTGCAAGCAAGTCTGAATAAATGAATAGCTCATTGGCATGAGCCCTAATTTGTTTTTACATTTAGAGAGTGAGGTTGAGAGATAAAGGCAGTGGTGAAATGCAAGTCTCCAAGACTTACATCAATCTGCGTTTCTCCTGCACAGCCCTGGTTCTCAGATGTGGACCTCACAAATCCTGCTGTGTAACACCAAGAATTTGCACTACATGGTTGCAGTAGGATTTTGTGGATAGGCACTTAGCCATAATTTGATGGGAGGTTGGTAAACGTGATTTATGTAGGGTTTACTCCTTATCCTTTTCTTCTCCCAAAAATTTCCCATAAGGCAGTGGAGGTTTAGGAACAGTGTTTTCCTTCTCCTAGATGAGCTACCTATCCAGGTTGACAAGCCCTATCTGCCCCTCACTTCCCTCTATAGCATGTGCAGAAACTGCCTTCTTCACCAATGGACCCACTATTGGTCTCATTCGCTCAATCCACCAGAGCCTGTCTTCTCATACAGGGGAAGTTTGCAGGTAATGCACTGCAAACTAGTATCTTGTTGGGGTAATCAAAGTGAAGGAACTGAGCAAGCCACCTACTAGTATACTTCTCACAGTTGGAGCTGTTTCCTGTTATAGTCATCCACAGGCCATTCCTCACCCCGCCTCTTAGGTAATGTAACGAAGGGTTTGATGTGCTCTGTGGAGGGAAGTTTTGCAAAGGCCAGTTCCTCCTAGAAAACCCGAACTTTCAGCACCACATGCTGGTGTCCTCAAGACGATTCCCTAAAGCAGGCAGGTAAGTGGATGAGTCTGCCTAATTCTGCATAGGACTGAGGTTGAAGATGAGAATGATGATAAGGACAATACATTAATATATTGGGAACAATGCATTGATAGGCAAAACTTGGTATTCCAGAGTGCTAAAGTTCTACATAAATGTCTAACAAGCTAGATGATAAAAGTTAAGTTGCTGTAGCATTTTGACGGTGTGATCCTCACTGTTCATCATGATGATTGTATCTGTCTTGTATTGCGATGTCAGTCGGCAGACTCAAATCTTACTAAATATTATTTGGAACAGCATATTAAATTATACCAGTCTAAAACCCATTTTGCATGTGATATTACAGCACTGATCATAGTTTTCTTGCAATTGAGCATACAGTATTTCCAATTTTAAAGAATAAGCGGAAACAAAATACACACAGAGATGTCTAATACTGTGTGTTTAAATATTAATGTTGTGTTATAATTGTTGTAGCCCATCCTGGGACTTCGGGATGAAAGGCAGGGAAAATAATAAGAATAATAATGCAGTAGTAGTAGTAGTAATAATAATAATAATAATAATAATAATAATAATAATAGATAATTTTGAATACAAAGTGATGAACCTGATACTGAATTGCAGCTGTCTCTGATGTGGGGTGGGGACGCGGGTGGCGCTTTGGGTTAAACCAAAGAGCCAAGGACTTGTTGATCAGAAGGTCGGCGGTTCGAATCCCCGCGACAGGGTGAGCTCCTGTTGCTCAGTCCCTGCTCCTGCCAACCTAGCAGTTCAAAAGCACGTCAAAGTGCAAGTAGATAAATAGGTACTGCTCCGGCGGGAAGGTAAACAATGTTTCCATGCGCTGCTCTGGTTCGTCAGAAGCGGCTTAGTCATGCTGGCAACATGACCCAGAAGCTGTACGCTGGCTCCCTCGGCCAATAAAGCGAGATGAGCGCCGCAACCCCAGAGTTGGTCATGACTGGACCTAATGGTCAGGGGTCCTTTTACCTTACCTGATCTGGGGTAGATGATTATAAGTAGCTCACATATTTGGAACTAATACAGAATGACTTCTGAGGTGGAACAGCTATCTAGAGAAGAATTCTGCAAGTGATGATGAGCTATAGACAGCATCATCATTATCAACAATTGCAACAACTATTAACTACAGCTGTTGCTGCTACCCCTCATAAGCCAAAA